TTACTAATTTGAGAAAGATTTGTTTTTTCTGCGTATGTGTGTGTGCCTGCATGAGTTTATGTGCATCACAAGTGCTAATGCCAGCAGAAGCGCAGAAGGTGTCGAAGTCCCTAGAGCTGGAGTTACAGGTGGTTGTGAGCTGGAAACCAAACTTGAGTCTTTGCCAGCCCCCAAGATATAATGTATACATGAACAACCACACATTCCTGAATACTACCAATTCACATGGTACCCTATACTGCTCTGCATGTATCCATGCACTTTACTATGTCATAGCTCTGTTTTCACTTCCCTGAAAGCATTTTTAAACCTCCCCAGTGCTTCCTTGACATAGATTTTTAGAGCATGCTATTTCCACCTATTTGAAACTTACCAATTTTCTTCTGCTATTTATTATTCATTTCATTCCATGGTAACTGAACACACTTCCAATGAGTTTAATCCTACCACATTTGAGATTTGCTTTATGAGCTAACTCATGGTCTACCCTCAGGAAGGTTTTATACTCACTGGAGAGGTGTGTGATTTTTGCTTTTCTCAAAGGCTTTCTACAGAGGTCTTTTGGGATTGGCAGGGTTTTAGTGCTGTTCAAGTCATGTTTCCTTTGGATCTTCTGTCTATTGTTCTGTCCACTACCGAAAGTGGGATATTGAAGCTCCTAGCTATGGTACTGGATTGTACTGCTCTCAATTTTGTCAGCTTTGGTTTTGTATTTTGAGGCTCTGCTCGTAGACATATAAAATTATGGGTTTTTGTATTTCTACAACCTATTAGACACTTTTCACTTAAATATGAAAAATATAACAGTTTGACTATTATAAATCATAATATGTTTTCAAAACAGGTAATCTAGGGGAGAGGTCACCAATGTTTTTCTGTTTTTCTTCTAGACAGTAACTATTTAGGTTTGGAGAGCTCTATGGTCTCTGTTGCAACTATTCAATCCCAGGTTGCAGCATGAAAGCAGCCGTGGAAAATACATGACTGCATCCAGGCACCCTCTCTCCTTCCTTCCTCCGCCAATAACAGAAGCAGGCAAGTGTTTTCTTTACACACTGTAACTGCTGCTATAGCAATGCCATAAAACATTTTAAGGATTTTGTGGTTTTTTTGGTGTTGTGGGGGGGGTAGAGAATTACTGCAAACAGATCAATAAAAACACTTATTGCCAGAATTCAGAAAACAGCGACATTGCAGGCCTAGAGGGACTAGTTGGGTAACTGTGTGAGCAATGGAAATGGTAACTTGTTCAACTTCCAGGCCCTTTGTCCAAGAAAGCAGCGGACATGTCTAGCCTTTCTCAATACAGGGAACCTTGTTTATATAGGTGTGGGCTCCCTCTTCACTCAGCTCTCATCCCAACACAACATAGGGTAGTAGTAAAGGAGCTGGCAAGAGTGCTTTCAATCAGGGCTCACACTTAAGTGGTCTGTGAGGCAGCTATGTCTTATTTAACCATTACTGTGTTTTAGTAACCCGAATTTCCATGTCTTTAGATAAGGCATTCATTCTACAGTTCACCTCAGTATCCCAGGATTCCCTTGAACTCACTATGTAGCTCAGGCTACCCTTGAATTTACAGTGATCCTTCTGCCTTAGGCTCCTAACTGCTGGGATTACAGGCATGGATCACCACACACTTATTATTGAACATCTCTGACAGTTTCCCCCTGCTGGCATTTAAGTTTATGTTGCTGTGTACATCAAAGGAAAAATGTAGCAAATGTCAGGCCTACAAGCTATGATCTGATGAGCTACAGCACTAACGTCTCTTTCATCCATCACTGTTTCAGTGTGTACTTCCATAAAATTATCTTTTTTTTTTCCTTTTTTGTCTTTTTGAGACATGGTCTTTCTGTAGCCCCAGCAGGCCTGAAACTCAATATGTAGACCAGGTTGGCCTCAAACTCACAGAGATCTGCCTATCTCTACCTCTCAAGTGCTGGGATTAAAGGCCTGTGCCACCATACCCTGCTAAAATTATCTTTCTTAAAAATGTTATATTCTAGGCCTGCACCAGTAGTATTGGTAGCATTGGCTTACGACCAAGCTTGACGACCCAAGTTCAACCCGTGGAGACCATGTGATAAAGCAGAGAGCTAACTCCCCCCAAGCTGGCCTCTGACTTCCATAGACACACGCACAATTAAATAATGTAATGATATTTTTAAATGTTCTATTACCTGGGAACATATTCACAATTCATAGTATATAAAATAAATGCATTTCACGTTATTGAGGAAATGATTTTATTATCTTGCTTATAGAGTATCAAATTGCCAGGTATGGTGACGCATGCCTTTAGTCCCACCCAGCACTTGGGAGGCAGAGGCAGGCAGATCTCTATGAGTTCAAAGCCAGCCTGGTCTACATAGTGAGTTCCAGGCCAGCTAGGGCTACAGGGAGACCTCAAAAAGACCACACACACACACACACACACACACACACACACACACACGCTTTCCCAGTTGGCTAAGGAAATTAAAAAGAATTACTTTGGCTGGAAAGATGAAGAGGAAGGATGAAGTGGAAGGCAAGGTGGCTGAATCTTTCCCTCAGGAACCAGATCAGTTTGATTTATTGGCTGTTCCAAGGTGTCTCGAATACACTTCCCCACCCAAAACTCCATCTGCAACTGAATCTATCACTCACCACCTCCTCCCTTTACCTAAGATAATAGATTTATTATGCATTCAGAAGTTCCCTTTTTCAACAAATGTTCATTGAGTATCTGATTTATGTGGATAGCAGGTCTAGGAAGATACAGAAACATAAAACATACAAGTAGAAAAAGTGAAAAAAATAGAAAAATCTGAGAGGGCTGTTTAGAATAGGAGCAATCTGATAAAACGACACTTGAGCTAAGAAGTGAAGGATGAAAGAAACCAGGAAGACTGTGGTAGAAGGGTGCTGTGGCTCTTAGCAGAAGGGACAACCCGGGCAAAGAAACTGAAAGAGCAAACTAGACTGACGTCAGTGATGGGAAGTGATGGGAAGTGCAGGCAGAGAGGTGATGGAGATTTTGTGGTTCCAAACCAGGTGCAGTGGCACATGCCTTTGATCCCTGCACTTTGGAGACAGAGGCAAGTGGATCTCTATGAGATTCAGGCCAGCCTGTTTTTACAGAGCAAGTTTCAGGCCAATTGGGGCTACAGGGAGACCCTGCCTCAAACAACGACAATAACAAAAGGGATTTTGTGGTTCCTATTAAGGAGGAAACAACAACGGGTCACACTTGCCATCCTTGCCCTTGTGATGCATACAGCCTAGTGAGGGACAGAGACAAGCAAGCTACCAATTTTAGTCCATGTCCTATGTGCTAAGATCAGGGAGCTACTGAGTGCCGGAAACACTGAGGACACCTGGAACAGTCAAGAGAAAGGAATGTTCACTCTGCACTTGGACCATTGCATCTGCCTCTGAATCAGGCAGCGTCTGCCCTCCAATCTCCCAGTTTGCTGCCTGTCATTTGCCTCAATGCAAATGACATCATGTCAGCTCAAAACCATCCACGGCTTGCCAGAGGGTGAATTCCAAACCCCTTGATCTGTGTCACTGTCTAGCCCTAACCTTTATCATCTGGGTTCAAGCTCTTTCTTCTAACTGATAATAGAGGTTTTCAAACGTTGTTTTTGACTCAGCTCAAAGGAAGAAATACATTTTACAAATATATATATAATATATATAATATATATATATATATATGCAGCATAAATGCTGGTTATGTTACTTATTCATGACCTGCCAAGCCCCAGTCTGCAGTGTGAAAATCACTGACTTCCCCCTCTACTACTCTTTCCCACTGAGCTCAGTTCTTTGACCCTTTGCCTAAAGGAGTCCTACATGCCAGGAATACCCTTCCCTTCACTGTTCCTTCACATAGCACTCAGCTCAAATGCTATTTCCTCAGAGAAACTTTTTTATTTACTTTTTGAGACAGGTCTCCCTGTAGTCCCAGCTGACCTGAAACTCACTATGTAGACCAGGCTGGTCTTGAACTCACAGAGATCCAACTGCCTCTGCCTCCCAAGTGCTGGGACTAAAGGCATGTGCCACCTTGCTGAGCCAGAGAAACCTTTTTAGATACCTTCCATCCTCAAGAGGCCCCAGGGCATAGCACATCCTGTGTGACAGCATTTGTCATATAGAATGTAGAATGACTAAAAAAAAAAAAAAAAAAAAAAAAAAAAAAATCAAGTCAGACTACTTTGTTAGGTTTTGAATGTCTGCATCCTAGTTTTGTGAGGCCCAAAATAGTCTGGGACTGGGGATGTGATTCAATTGATGGGAGTGCTTGTCTAGCAAGCCGGAAGGCCTGAGTTCAATCTCCAGCACTGCACAAAAGGGGCATGGTGGCACATACCTGTAAGTCAAGAACTCAGGAGGTGGCAGTAGGAGGATCAGAAGTTCAAGGTCATCCTTATAATAGTGAGTTTGAGGCTAGCTTGTGCTATATGAGACGCTGTCTCGAAAGGGGGTTTGTGTGTGTCTAATGTGAAACACATGTGAGAAGGAATTATGCTGAGTACACATAAACCAATCTCCTGTACTCCCCCGACCCACCAAACTCTTAGGACAATTAGTCCTCTTTTTAGGTCCTCAAGCACATCAGTCTTTCCCACTAGAAAGTCCCCCATTCCTGTCACCCCCGCCCCCATTCCAGGGCACGATGTCAATTCTTCAGCTCTGTATTTTCAGATCAATAGTCTACTCTCAGAGAAGCTATCTGCCCATTTTCTCCTCACATTTCCTTTGTTTTTGGACATTTCTCTCTGCCAGAGTTTTGAGGGAACTGGTCTACAGATTAGGCCCATTCATTTCAGCACCTGGAATAGTGCAAACACATTACTATGTGGAAAATCAGCACCGTGTGACAGGAGGCAGCCAAGACCACAGGGGTCTTGGAGACCTGGCTCCAGGCCGAAGGCCACGCGAACACTGACACGCCATCCCGACCCCGCCGGACAGGGAGGAGCTGGGCACCACATTCCAGGGCCTACCAGTAGTAAGTGACTGTACAGGCCGTGCACATCCGCTCGGCAGGGGCTTCGCACACCTCACAGCAGAGCCGGCGCCCCTTGGGCACCGCCAGCGGGTAGATCACGTTCATGGCGCAGCCAGCTGGGTCCGTCTCCAGGACGGTTGCCAGGCTAGCACACGCCGGGCGTCACGTGACGATCGCGGGCCAGTCCGGTTCACCATATTTCAAGGACACCGGGGAGGGGCGTGGTCTACCATCTGCGACAGGGGAGGCGGGAGCATAAACCCTTTAAATCCCTAAGGTTAAATAGCCGGAATTTGACTGCAATGGAATTCCAGTTTAGGAAGGTCTGTACGGTGGCCGGTAAGGACCAAACATATCCAGTTCCCTTTCCAGGCTAGGAAACCAATAAGGCATATGACTCTTGGATATTCGAAAATGACACTTCCCCTTGGCGCTGTATCGCTTCCCGTGGGCTCTTGGGCAGAACGGCCAACATTTCAAGACATGGCGAAGTCTGGACCTAGTGGCGAACCTGGTGCAGAGAACAGCCATAATCAGTACTGCGGCTGCGCACAGGCCAGGTACGGGGAGGGGGCGTGGTGCCGGCCGCCTGGTGTACGCAGGCGCAGTGTTTCCAGCGCGCTGATGGCGGAAATGGACCTGGATGCGGAGTTGCCCCGGCCGGCTGGCACTGCACGCTGGGCCGAGGTTATGGCTCGCTTTGCGGCCAGTGTGGGCGCGCAGGGCCGGCGGATAGTGCTGGTCACGTCGGGCGGCACCAAGGTCCCCCTGGAAGCGCGACCTGTGCGCTTCCTTGACAACTTCAGCAGCGGGCGACGCGGGGCAGCCTCGGCCGAGGCCTTCCTGGCTGCGGGCTACGGGGTTCTCTTCCTGTACCGCGCTCGCTCGGCCTTCCCCTACGCCCACCGCTTCCCGCCGCAGGCCTGGCTGTCGGCCCTGCGGCCTTCTGGCCCAGCCCAGTCGGGCAAGCTGAGTCTGGAGGCCGAAGAGAATGCACTGCCAGGCTTCGCTGCAGCTTTGCAGAGCTACCAGGAGGCGGCTGCTGCCGGCACCTTCCTAGCCGTAGAGTTCACCACTTTGGCGGAGTACTTGCATCTGCTGCAGGCTGCGGCCCTGGCGCTCAGTCCACTAGGTGCGTGCCCTAGGAATCCATCGGTTTCCTGGAGGCAGAGCCTTTCCCCGCAGCCTCTTTCCTCCACACCTCATGCCCCGCCAGCCAGGGAACTCGAGAAAAACCTGATCCCATACCTTTCCCGGATTTGTTACACTTTCTGCTTCTCTTCACAGGCCCTTCTGCGATGTTTTACCTGGCTGCGGCCGTGTCAGATTTCTATATTCCTGTCTCTGAAATGCCTGAACACAAGATCCACTCATCTGGGGGCCCACTGCAGGTGATGGGCTCTTCTCTTCCAGAGATCAGATCTCCTATAACCAATCTTGGGTTAATTCCCTCTTGATCTGGAGATGGCCTTTCTGCATTCTGTATGTGCTAGGCACGGGGGAATGCAGAGATGAATAAGATACTGCCCTCCTTCAAGGACCTCACAGTCTAGCGAGGGAGCTGGACCAGACATTATTACAAATCAGAGTGATAAATGCTCTAGTGGAGGTATGTACAAAGTGCAGTCAGATCGTAGGGTAGTGAGTTGGGGGAGTCAAGGCTTCCTGGAGCCGACCAAAGGATAAGCCGAGTGTGTAGTAAAGTGGGAAAGGTCATTCCAAGGGGAGTTAAACACAGTTGGAGTTTGCAGTTGGGTAAATGTTCTGGAAACCCAAGTACTTTGGTAAGACTGAAGAGGCAGTTTGCCTCTTAGGAAATATGGTATTCCTTCTGTGGAGGCAAAGGACACAGGAGAAAGTAGGAGAAAAAGAAAGTTTTTGCTTGAAAAGCATATTCTAGCCGGCAGTGATGGCGCACTCTTAAGTCCACCACTCAGGAGGCATCAGAGGCAGGTGAATCTGAGTTCAATGCCAGCCTGGTCTGCATAGTGATACCCTGGCTCAAAACAAACAAGAATATTCTAGAATTTTGAAAGGTGAAGTACGGTGGAGGGGGTAGACAATTTGGGGGTTATTGTAGTTTAAGGAAGGAGTTTGGGAAGGATAGTGTTATGGTTAAGATGTTAAGGTGATCTGGTGTCTTGGAACCTGAGAGAAATCATCATTTATCGAGTGATTTAAGTAGAATTTATAGGAGAAACTATCTGAGGGGCACCTGTAGGATAGTTTATTCACTTCTTTAATGAGTATTTATTGAGTTCCTACTGTATGCCATGCACTGTTGTGGGACCAGGAGATGAAAGCAACGAAGAGAAGTAGACTTAGCATTTGCGTTGTTCCACGGCAGGGGAATCACATGCATAGCCCACACTTGGGGGTTGTGAGTACCATGAAGAAAAATGAAGTGGCAAACTGCTATGCTATTCCTGTAACACTTGCTAACAGATCTCCCACTTTAAAAATTCTGGGATCTTTAACCCATATTTCTTTATTTTCCTTGAAAGTATACAGAATGACTCAGCATTCCCATTGGAAGGGTTTAGGGCACATGGCAGGAGTTTGGAGCAAGTGAAAACCACAATGGTGGTATCCTCTCTGATTCCTCCATTACTCGTTTAGTTACAACTGAACAGATTCTAAGTGCAAACCAATGCCACTCTACCAGTGTAAGATGTTTTGGACTGAAAGATTTAAAAAAAACCAGTATTATTGGACTTCTGCCAAAGTAACGTTTGAATGAATAAGCAGATTTATATTTGTTTGAGGGTTGTTAGTTTGTTTTTAAAGGCAGGGGGATGGTTAATGAATTGTAATGAGGATAGCAGAACAGGACTAATTCAAAAAGCATAATTTGCTCCAAAATGGGTATGAAGCCTTGAATTTAGGCAATGTTATGAACTTAGGCGTTAAATTAGGCATTTAATATATTCAGAGAAGTTGGGCAATTTAAATTTATATAGGCAAAAAATCAGTCCCTGATTCTTAGTCACCTGGTAGGCAATGGCCATTGTTTGCTTATTAAACTTTTCTCTTTCCAATACAGATAACAATGAAGATGGTGCCAAAAATGCTTTCTCCTTTGGTTAAAGACTGGGCTCCCAAAGCATTTATAGTTTCCTTTAAGCTGGAGACTGACCCCTCCATTGTAATTAATCGTGCTCGGAATGCTTTGGAAGTTTATCAGCATCAAGTGGTGGTGGCCAATATCCTTGAGTCCATGCAGTCATTTGTGGTTATTGTAACCAAAGACTCAGAAACCAAGTTATTGCTCTCAGAAGATGAAGTAGCAAAAGGCTTAGTGATAGAAGAGAAGATAGTAGAAGATCTTCAGTCCCGACACACAGCTTTTATATGTGACAGAAGCTGAATGAGAGGCTCTTCTAGGATCAAAAGTAATTGTCCAGTGGACCAGTGTGCTCACAGTTGGCAAGAATTAGAGTAATCCTTTGCTTGATAAGGATAGACAGTAAGGAAAGGTTAAGTGGTATGCAGGCAAATAATGGCTTGGTATTTATCTTTTACTAACAGAACCACCTGACACACCCAAATGGCTTCTTGATTTGGAAATTGAACATAGGGCCACATCTTGCTTTTCAAACAAGACTTTTGTGGAATTAAGTATTCTACAAAATGCACATTCGGAACTGAATGTGGAAAGGATTATGATGCATGAATGCTCATGCTCTGGAGATCAAGTATTTATTGGGTGCCTACTATGTGCCAGGACCTGTGTGAGCTATGAGGGTTAAAAAGATGAGTAAACATCTCTCATTCAGGAACTGGATGTATAAAAAATTAAGTGCAATAAAGTATGTGCCCACAAACTGACACATGGCGAGGATGTCCTCTTTGTTTTTTTAATACATTTACTAAAATGAGACTAGGAAAGACACTTCCCTAAAGATAGATTGCCTGTAGATTACAGAGCCTCCTACTACATTGACTTTTTACTAATTGTCCTAGATTTAGTCCATATTTGAGTAAAAATTTTTCAAATATTTTAATATTTTTATGTGTATGAGTGTATTGCCTACATGTGTATAAGTGCATCTGTGTCATGCAGTGCCCACGGAGGTCAGAAGAGAGTGTCAAGTCCCCTGGGACTGGAGTTATGGGTGATTGTTAGCCACTATGTGGGTGCTGGGAATCAAACCTGGGTCCTCTGCAAGAGCAGCCAGTGTTCTTTAACTGTGGAGCCATCTCTCCAGCCCCTAAAAGGTAAACTTAACCTGGCCCTCCCCTTGGGACCAAGAAGGGGGCAGTTGATAACCTCTGTCCTGAGGGAGGCATTATAGTGTGGTAGAGACTATGGGGTTTGATTAGGCAGCTGGGTCACCTGTTAGCTTCATAAACTTAGGCACATGACTTAATCTCAGTTTACATACCTGTACTGGAGGGATAAGCAGGAAAATAATGCTAAAAATCAAACATGAGCCTCATGCCTATCACTTCAAACTCAAGCTGTTGCAATAATTGTTTTCTCATTTAGCAAGTCAATGTTAGGCCAAAGCCCTGCTTGATCCTTGAGTCCCCAAGAAACTTGAAGTTCTTACTTTCCTGTGCTTTGGGATAGGAATGTATAAATAGTGCAGAAAAATAAGTTAATGATCTGTATAAAGGCTAGCCCAGGATGCAGTTGGGAAATACCATTATTAATGACTTAGAAGTAGGCAGTGTTCCTGTTCCATGTAAACACTGGATTTAGGGGCCGGTGCCAGTAGTATAACTCATTATAGAGCACTTGCCTCAAATGTGCAGGCCTCAGTATGATCCACAGCACTGTACAAACCTAATTTAAAGTGCAATTCATGGTAGGTCATGGAGTTGGGAAAGGTCACCAGAAGAATGCTGACAAAAGTGGCAAGGTAAATTGAAATACTTCATTATATTGTATGACCTTCCACTGAGGAAGAATCACTGCGGCAGCCTAAAAAGCAGCAGTTCCTTAGAGCAAACACTTTAAATGAACTTCAGGGGTCGAGCTGTCAAAGCCTCAGAAACAACAGACTTAGCAGTAGCTGCAGCACTGGTGCAGGAAGTAAGAGATTGATTATCCTCCTGACATCCAAAACCTTAGGAGGCTGACTCATCTTTGAATGTACATACAGTGAAGGTTAAAACTAGAATCGACCTTAATGTTTTCACAGTATTAATTCTCAGGGGAACTGTTCCATACTGTTTTTTTCAAGTTCAGAAGCATCAAGTAGTCTTCGTGGAGTTACTTCATAGGTTTCCCCGTTCAGTTTAGTGTAAAACAGTATTTACCCAGGTAGAAATTTCAAGAATTTGCATAGGTCTGTATGTATGTTCTAACAAACAAATGCTTGTGGTGGGGGGCGGTGACACGATATGAGCTAACAAAGGCAAACGAGGCACTGGATCGAGACTGGTGGACCAAGGAACATTTTCTAAGGAGATGATGCTGAAAGTGATAAATAAAAGCTGCCTGCAGGTCCTGGTAGCAGTGAACATTTTGGGGCGGGGGGAGTTGTAACAGAAAATAAAGGGGATTATCTAGCCAGGTAATGTGTGCAGAACCAGCAGAAGGCAAGGTTTGCAACCAGAGTAAGACCAAGAAATTTAATTCGTGTTTGGAACACCAGCAAAGCAGAAACCTCCAAAAAGAGCGAAAGGGAGCTTTGACGAGTACCTGGAATGTTGCAAAGAGAGTAAAGGTGGTAGAAGTTCAGCCTTAGCTAAAAGTGTGCCTTTATCAAATATCTATTTGGGGGACTGGAGAGATGCTCTGTTACCAACACCTATGTGGTGGCTCACAACCTGTCACTCCAGTTCTGGGGGATCCAATGCTGCCTCTGGCTTCCAGAGGCTCCTGCATGCACATAGTGCACATAAACTCACCAAAGGAAACAAACAAATAGAATAAAACTTTTAAATACATTTTGCATTACATAGGTAAGAAGGCTCACCGAAACCGACTTTGCAGCAATTTGGTTTCAGTCTTCCTGGTAATTCTAGTCAAACCCTTTTTCTACATTTTCACAGTACTTAGCTGGGTCCAAATGAGTCTTATGTACCCTAGTGGTTAGTGAAGACGGGCTACAGTCAGAACTGCTGACACACATAGTCGCCCCCCCCCTTTTCTGCTCTTATACAATGTATTTTGATCATTTTCCACCCCAACTCTTTTTCCAGGTCTGCCTTCACCTCCCTACCCTCAACTTTTGCATTGTCTTTGGGTTTTGTTTCGTTTTGTTTTAAGACAGGTTCTCCCTGTAGCCCCAGCTTCCTAGAACTCTGTAGACCAGGCTAGCTTTGAACTTACAGAGATCTACCTGCTCCACCTCCAGAGTACTGATATTTAAAGGCCTGTGGCCATTCCGCCCAGCCATGGTTTTTTGTTGTTGTTGTTGTTGTTGTTGTTGTTGTTGTTGTTTTTAAATAACCCATCAACTCCACAATTTGTGCTGTCCATATAGGTGTGGGACCATCCACTGGGGTCTTTCCACCTACCAGGGGCCACACTCTTAAAACTGACTCTTGGTCCCGGCCCACACCTTTAATCCCCAGCATTTGGGAAGCAAAGGCAGGTAGATCTCTGTGAGTTCAAGGGCAGCCTGGTCTACATAGTGAGTCCCAGGCCAGCTGGGGCTACGGGGAGACCCTGTCTCAAAAAGACCAAGACAAACAAAAAAATTGATCCCCCCCCTCCCCAAATGTTATCAGCTGTCAATAGCTCCTCAGGGGTGGTGGCTATGAACCCTTCCCACTTCATGCTAGAACGTTGACTGGCTTGTGCAGGCAACCACAGTTGCTGTGAGTTCATGCGTCCAATGGGCCAGTCGTCCAGTTTTGTTACTGGTTTGGTTTGGTTTTTTGGAGACAAGGTCTCACTCTAACTCAGGCTAGGCTGGAACTTATTAAATAACTCAAGCTGTCTTTAAACTGGAGGCAAGTCTCCCGCCTCGCCTCCTGCGTGCTGGAACTCTCACGCCCGATTTTTGAAGTATCTTATAGGAAGATAAATCTAAGGCGGGAAACAATTCCAGAACAGGATCACAATGTCTGTGCAGCCTCTTCGCTGTAGGCCTGCCCCACACGGTTACTATGGTTACTGCCTCCTCCCGAGCCAATGGCGTGAGCTTGTACCAGATGCTGCCGCCAGTCCCACTCCGCCCCGCGCCCTGGAGGCCAATGGCGTGCGCCGTAACAAGTCCTCACAGGAAGACCGGTCTGGAGGATGAATGGCGTGCGCCGTATCCATGGTTCCCGCCGGAAGCCGGCCTGCGCGTCACCACGTGAGCGGTTGCCCTGACCGCCGGCATCGATGGCAGCTCGCTCTGGGCGCGCTCACGGGAGAGTCCCGGGCCCTGCCCGCTCAGGGCTTTGCCCCGCTGTCTAGTCCCGGGCTTCGGCCTGAAGAAGGGTCGGGATTTTCAGGTCCAGCCTCCCGCGCCGCTTAGCGCCGGGCTCTGACTTGGAGCCCGCCGGAACGAGGCCGGCGCTCCTTTCTTCCCCTCCGCCACCGGGTTGGAGGCCACACCGCCCTCCGAGACCCGCCCAGCCCTGCTCTTTTTGGCCCAAGTTCGTCTCGCTCAGCCTTGAATGCCGGTGGAGCTGCGGAGGCCGGTGGTAACCCCAGCATCCGAGGTCATTAAGTCAGTTGCCTTCTGCCTTTCAACCTGCAACCTCATCCACTTCTCTCATCACTCCGAGCACCGGATTCTTCATCCTCTTCATCCCATAACCATTTGCACCCTTCCCTGTCCTGGCTGCGCAGTATTGCATGTCCTTTGGTCTCCACCACCCTGTCATCTGTGGGCCCCCTCCTTCTGTTTCCCAGCTGCAGGGCTTTGCGAGGCTGAATAGTTCTCATTCGGCCTAGCAATCGCAGGGAGGGTTTTCAGTTTCCCTGCAAGCTTTCTATCTTGGTTTAGAGAGCAAAGTGGAGAAGTAAACCTTGGTAAATTACATATTAGGCTACTGCAAGCCTAGTGTGTTTTGAAAACAGAAAAAAAAATTAAAATGGTAGTTTGGAGACCTATGTCAGGTTTACATGTAAATAAAGAAGGTTGGTCCTTGTTTAAGTGCTATGTTAAAGACAGAAATTTGAGGAATGTATTCATACTTTTGAAAATGTCATTCAAAAATGATCGTATAACGGGATCTTGACTTTAAACCCAAACATTTGCTAGAGTGGAGATGCTTGAACCCGTTTATATGCCACTCCATTTCGTTCCATTTTCTGTAGAAAACACTTGGTGATGTGGGCCAATAAAGAACAACTTAAATATTTTTGTCAAAGAAGCAGGCCGAGTAGACTTTTAAAAAGACTGGTACAGAAGTTCTTAAATGTAGATTGAGCTAATCTAGATGCTGTGAAATTTTATTTTAGACCAAAAAGCATGACTTAACTTGTATTATAGTATGTGTTCTTTAGGGAGACTTCCTATTTCTTTTTCAGGATTCAGGTTTAAGTGTAAATCTGTTTTTGAGGATATATAAAGTATACATCTTAATGGGTACTTTGGCATTTTTAGTGATATTTTGATCTTTCAGACCAATTAAAAGCAATATTTCTGATGTCTCAGGCTTAGAGTCAGGTCTGACAGAAATGCTGAAAAATTTAGTTCTCTCCTGTAAGAAAAGAAACACGAGTTTTGCAGCTTTTTCAGCTTTTCACATTAAATAACATGAAGTCAAATTTCTTGCAAAAAACACAGGGTCTTTTAGGTGCTATTCTCTAGGTGCTTTCCTCTTCTGACATGTATTGAATAAACACTATTATGACAAGGCTAAATTAAAGCTTTTTCCTCTTCCCCCTGTACAGTCCCATACCAGGGGGTGGGGCAGGTGATTTTGCTCACTAGAGACCTTGGCAGTGCATGGAGATAAGGAGGTTTGTCACTGGGTGTGTGCTGCTGGCATCCAGTCAGTAAATGCCTGAGCTGCGGTTACACATCCTACCATGCACAGAACATCTAACAGATGAACAATTATCCAGCCTAAAATGTGAATAGTGCCAAGGCTGAGAGACTCTCCTAGCACAGTCTGTCCTAACACAGTTTTCATATGTGTCAGTCTGTTCACATGTATGTTTTTACACATTTATAGTGTGCACTTTTCACTTTATTTTGTATTTTAAGCATTTTTCCCATTGCTACATTGTTTTCAACTTTTAAAAAAAATATTTCTCATTAGGGAATTGAAAAACAACTTGTGTATAATATTCTTGTACTTAAGATGCCTGTAGTTTTTGAATTCTATTTCTATAGAAGGACAAAGGGTTAGGGTGGAAAGTCACCTGACTGGATCTTTCCACTTTTGTGCCCATGTTATTCGCTGTGTTCGGTAACAATCTCTTAAAGACCTTGGGATTCAAAACCAGATGTTTTCTCAGAGTCAGAAAATGTGCTGAAGCACAAGCTGTGGTTCTGGTCCGTGCCACAGTCCAGGGCATGTGCAAGGACAGCCATGAACAGGCAGAAGGACCATGCCCTGCCCTCTGCCCGCTTCCCCTTAAAGCACACCGATTGCAGTCTTGATTTGCCTTGACACTTCCATTCACCATCTCATCCTTTACATGTAGAAGGGTTTAGAAGCCTAAAATCTCCACATTTTAGGATACGCTTCCTGAAGGTACTTGCTGTTTATTCAAGATCTGTTTTGGAGAGAAGAGCATTCTTCTATACTTTGTTGAGTGGACAGGTTTGGGTATAATTTAAATATTAGAGAATTTATCATTCAAAGAACAGAGTTGTGTTACCTCAGGACATACTTTATTAGAATTTTTAAAATTCTCGACCAGGAAGTTTCAGTTCACTGGGAAAAAAAAAAAAAAAAAGTTTGTTCTGGGATAACCTAACATCACTGGAGGCAGAGGGACCTGAATGGTGAAAGTTGAGGAACTGCAAACAGCTTGATGCAATTGGCAATTACATACTAAACCGATGTAAAGGGGAATCAGCGAGCTAGAGACTGGTGCCGAGCTGAGGGGTTTGAACTCTGTCTGAGAGCAAGCTGAATGCTCGGAAGCAGTGATCTGCATTCAGATGGTGGTTCTGGGAGCTTTGTAGAGCACAGATTGAATGGGGGCCAGCCAGGCAGCAGCATCACCAGCTACAAACGCTGCTGTGCTAAACTGAGCAAATAATGAGTGCCTGCATTCAGCTGACAGACTTGGAGGGGATGAGTAGGAAATGATGAAAAAGGGGCTGGAGAGATGCTCAGTGGATAACAGCACTGGCTGCTCTTACAGAGGACCTGGGTTCAGTTCCCAGCACCCACATAGCGACTCACAATTGTCCCTATCTCCAGTTCCAGGGGATCCTATGCCCTCTTCTGACCTCCGTGGGCATTGCACAGCATGGGTGCACTTACGTACATGCAGGCAGAGCACTCATTCACATAAGCTAAAAAATAAATAAAAATTGGGGGGCTGGAGAGATGGCTCCGCAGTTAAGAGCACTGACTGCTCTCGCAGAGAACCCGGGTTCGATTCCCAGCACCCACATGGTGGCTATGAACCGTCCTTAACTCCAGTTCCAGGGAAATCAGCAGCCCTCTTCTGACCTCTGCAGCATTGCACGACACGGGTGCACTCACATACATTCAGGCGATACACTCATACACATAAAATAAAAATAATAAAATATTTTTTAAAAATAAAAATTTTAAGAAGAGAGAATGAAAAGAAACTGCAGAATGGGGAACCACTTTTAAGTCATATCTGGTAGAGAACTTGTATTAGAATGTATGTCGGGGTCTGGAGAGATGGCTCCACCGTTAAGAGCACGGGCTGTTCTTGCAGAGGACCCAGGTACAAGTCCCACATTCACACGGCAGCTCACAATTGTCTGTAACTCCAGTTCCAGGGGATCTGACGCCCACTTCTGACCTCAGTGGGCATTGTACAATGCAGGTGCTCTTATGTGTATGCAAGCAGAACTCTCATACACATATAATAAAAAGAAATACATGGAAATGATGAAAGAGGTGAAATCTGCCAGATTCAGTGACTGTGACAGTAGGATAAATAGGGAAGAGTCAAGGATGACACCCTGGAATCATCACCACAGTGTTGGTGATTTTTTTTAATGTTTTGTTTTTTATTTTTGTTTTATGTGTATGAGTATATTGCCTGCATGTATGTAAGTGCACCCATGTCATGCAGTGCCCACAGAGGACAGAAGAGGATGTTGGATCCTCTGGAACTGGAGTTATGGACAATTGTGAGTCACTATGTGGGTGCTGGGAACCGAACCCGGGGTCCTCTGCAAGAGCAGCCAGTGCTCTTACCCACTGAACCATTTCTCCAGCCTCAGTGTTGGTGATTTTAACTATGTAATATAGAAGGAAGAGGGGGGAATAGTGAATTATTTGACCCCAGTTCAGTAGAAAATTGACCTAATTTTATTTTATATTGCCCCTCCACCCTCTAACCTGTTCTCTAGAACTGACATTCTTTGCCTGTCTCTACTGAAGGTGAGGCTTGAGTTGACTGTATTTGTACTCCAAGTACAGTACTCACTGAATGAGAACTGTACATGTGGAGGAAGGCACACTTTGTTGAATAAATATCCAAAGTGTCTCAAAAATCTGAGACAAAAGAAGCAAAGAAATGCTTATTCTGAAATGATGTGTAGGCTAAGGACTTGAGGGGCTGTTGTCAGTCTTGTTGATGAGCAAGCAGAGACAGATGTCTGTGTTGAGAAGTGAGAAGAGCAGAGTCTCAGGAGAACCCTGGCAAAAATGCACCAGGGGAAACTATTAATGGCTCTCTAGTTTCTGTGTAGCCATGCTGTCTTCCTAGCATCTTCATTTGTTTTGTTTTGAGACATAGTCATGTGGTCCAGCCTGGCCTTGAACACAGTTTGTAGTCAAGGCTGACCTGGAACTCCTGACCCTTCTGCCTCCACCTCTGGGATTATAGTGCTGGGATTATAGGTATGTGTACCAGCACACTAGCTGTCCTTGTATCATATCCTTTAAATAACCTCCTTGTAGTAATATGGAATTTGCTGCCTGTGAATGACTGAAGGCTCAAAATAACAGTGGCTTGAGGGGGCCAGAGCTGCTCCATGGTAGAATGCTTGCGTAGAGCTTAAGAATCCTTGCTGCCAGAGAATAATTGGTTTGAAAAAGAAAATTTTTATTTTTCTAACATGAAAATCAAGATGCCAGACAATGAAATGGCTTAGCAGGCCATATGTCTCAAAAAAAAAAAAAGAATTTAAAGAAGTTAATGACTTGTCTAAGTCATACCACTATACACTGTTGGAGCTAGTGTTTGAACCAAGATGTGTCAGCTTTGCCAAGCTGATACCCCAGCAGAGAGGGGCAGAAAGTCAGAGCAGGGTCTTGGGAACGGCAGCATTTGAAAGGCCAGTGGGAAAGGAGGACCCAGGAAGAAAACTGACAAAGGTGGGCTGCACAGGCAAGAATTGAAACAGAACTACATGATGCCACAGAGCAGAAAACAGAAAACGTGCAGAGAAGTGTGAACAGAGAAGGCAGAAAGGTCATATGTAAGGCCAGAACAACATGCAATTGGATAGGACATTTTCAGTTTCTTGTTAACTGATCATTTGAGTACGGTGATAAAAACAGAAGCCAGAATAAGCAAGTGTGAGAGACGAGCTGTCTGATGGCTAGAGAGGACTGTGCTGGGACTTGAGGGGCTCCTTAGCTCCATTTTTGGTTTTGGTGTTGGAGGTTGACTCCAGTGCTTCACCTATGCTAAGCATGTTTTGTCTCTGAGCTGTACCCCAGACTGTATCTTTATTTGTGCCATCACAGACATCCTGAGCTGAGGGCAAAACATCAGTAGAGAGGGAGATTGTGAGTATATGAAAAAGAAAAGGCATCCGATAAAGAAATGTGGAATAGGACCTAGATCACAGGAGGATGAATGGCCTGGTTAGCCGTCGTTGTCAACTTGGCACAGCTTGGTCACCTGAGGACAGCCTCAAATGAGGAATTTCCTAGATTAGGTTGATCTGTTGGCATGTCTGTGAGGGATTGTCTTGATTACTAATTGAAGTAGGAGGACTCAGCCCACTGTGGGAAGTACCATTCCTAGGCTGGTGATCCTGGACTGTGTAAGAAAGCTAACCGAGCGTGAGCCTAGGAGTGACCAGAAAGCAAACCATAAACAATGTTGCTCCATCGTTTCTACTCAAACTCCTGTTCAAGTTCCTGCCCTGATTTCCCTCAATGATGGACTATGACTTGGAAATGTAAGTCAGATAAATCCTTTATGTTGCTTTTGGTCAGAGGGTTTCATCACAGCAACACAACGGAAACTAGGATACCACACATCTTTTCTACTGAGAAAGGGAAAGTGGTGTCAAATGTCTGAAGGTGAAGGCTAGTATGTTAGTGGTAGGGAAAACAGATGACAATTTTCTCATGGCCTTAGTTTTCCTTGTGTTGAGGAAGACGAGATCATCTGTCAAGAGTGAAGGCAGAGGAGGACTTGTATTGGAAGCTGACAATACATAGAATGACCTAGAAGATGGAGACCATGAATTGTAGCGACTGCACTCTGCAAGTTTGTTTGGTTATTTATCAACACCCAGTAACCTAAAGTAGATGGAGAATAGTCAAATCCTTAAACTTTCCCAGAGATTTTCAGGGAATGTGGCTCAAGAAACAAGATAAATGGGGGTAAGGATTAATCAAAATTATGAACAGTTGGGTTAAAATAACAGAAAATAAGTGCTTACAAAGCTATGAGGAAATCAAGACCTTTGCATTGCTGGTGGGAAAGTAAAATCCTGCCATTATGGTAGATTACTGATAGTTCCTCAAAAAATTAAACAGGAGGTAGGTGGAGAGATGGCTCAGCTGTTAAGGCCACTCACTGCTCTTGCAGAGATCCCAGGTTTGGTGCCTAGCACCCACATGGCAGCTAACAACTGCCTGAGACTCCAGTTCCAGGGACTGTAATGCCCTCTTCTATATGCTGTAGGGATTTCACAGTATGGGGACTCTTACATACATGCAGGCAAAACACTCGTACACATAAATTAAAAATGATTCAAGATCATTGGCTTTGGGAGCGTGGTCTGTTGGAAGAGCTTGGATGCCCTGGGCATTTGAAAATTGACCTGGAGCTTGTACCCTCTTCCTGATCAGCAGGTCCAACTTACCCTCTACTACCCCATCTCTCAGAAGCCAAGCATCCAGAGATGTTTTCGATATTCCCCACTCTACCATGCCTTAGGCCCTCCACTTCATTACAGTGTGTGGAGACTATGCTGAACTTATTTCTGATCACTCATAACCTCAGCAGTTTGTCACTGGTGTATTTGTTTCAAGTCTTTGCTATCTTTTTTCACATAGTTGTAATAATCCTTTTACATTCTAATTTTTAATATAAAAAATGTTTTTTGGTCTTTTTGAGACAGGGTCTCCCTATAGCTCCAGCTGGCCTGGAACTCACTTTGTAGACCAGGCTGGCCTTGAAGTCACAGAGATCTGCCTGCTACTGCCTGCCTCTGCCTCCCAAGTGTTGGGATTAAAGGCATGCACCACCATACCTGGCATTAAATTTTTTTTATTTTAGCATATGTGCATAAGTGTTTTGCCTGCATGTGTGTGAACAATGTGCATGCAATGCCCTCAGAGGCCAGAAGAGGGGGTTGGATTTCCCCCTAGAACAGAAGTTATGGAAGATTGTTAGCCACCAGGAGCCAGAGGCAGGTGGATCTATGTGAGTTTGAGGCCAGCCAGGGCTTCATGGTGAGACGCTGTCTCAAACAAACAAAACAACCTCCTCAAAAGAGGAACAAAACTGGGGCTGGAGAGATGGCTCAGAGGTTAAGAACACTGGTTGTTCTTGCAGAAGACCTGGGTTTGAATCCCAGCACCCACATGGTAGCTAGCAACTGTCCATAACTCCAGTTCCAGGGGATCCGATGGCCTCTTCTGTCCTCTGCGGGCATTGCACGACACGGATGCACTTACCTGCATGCAGGCAATACACTCATACACATAAAATTTTTTTAAGAAGACGAAAACTAAAGGCATGTACCACCACACCCGGCCTGCAATAAGCATTTCTAAAGCAAATCGCGGAGGCCACACTAAGCCCAAAGGAACACAGGCTGAACAGGATTCAAGCACAGCCATGCACCACAGAGTGGTGTTCAGGTCAATGACAGATCACATATATGGCAGTGGTCTCATAAAATTATATTGCCCCGTGAGTGTATAGCTGTCTTTGTGTGCAAAGTACAGTCTATCATGTTGGCACAAGGATGAAAGTCTGACAGTGTGTTTCTCAGAATCATCACACAACACATGACTTTGTACAAACTCCAAAGTGTGCTGATAACCTAAATCATTAACTTGCTGAAAAATCATGTGAACTTCAACATTGTGATGACACCATCCCTCTGTTTAGCAATCTCTCCTGAGCTAATGTATGCCCTAGAAACATGTTGGTCTTAGGACTTACAGCAGTTTTTGTTGCTTGCAATACAACTGACTGGAGCCTTGGAAGAACCTTACTGAAAATAACTGGTTGAAAACAGGTGGAAACTAAGCTCTAGAAGTGTAGAGAGTGGATGATTAAGTGCTAGAAGGCTTGAAGCCGAGGCCAGAGAGAGCCTACCCTTATTGGTAGCAGCACGACTATGGAATTACTATGGGATGGGTAACTGAGGTAGGACAGAGGACTGATCTTTAGAGCTGGCTGCTAAAGGACTGGGAAGCCAAGATACTAAAACAATTGTCTGCCCAAACCAACAACATCAGGATTTGTTGAGTGACATTGGGCAAGTTATTTGACTTCTTGGTGCCTCAGTCTTCCTACCTTAAGGAGGGATGTTACTAGTTTCTGCTTCACTTGATTTCAATGAGGAGTAAAATAAATCCATCTCAAGTGCTTACTATAATACCTGCTACATAGTAAGTGCTCAGAACAAAAATAAATATATGAGCTGGGAGTGGTGGTGCATGCCTGTAGTCCCAGCACTCGGGAGGCAGGCGGATCTCTGTGAGTTCAAGGCCAGGCTGGTCTACATAGTGAGTTCCAGGCCAGCTGGGGCTACAGGGAGACCCTGTCTCAAAAATCCAAAAAATAAATAAATAAATAAAATAAATATATGAGGTAAATTCAAATCTGAGTCCCTAATAATTTTTTTGAAAAGGGTACCCTTACTCTTTATTAAATGGAAAATTAAAGGCTATGGTAGCAGTGAGACTGTCCACACACTGAGAAACCTCTTCACACCCTTTCTTGTTTATACAGTTTCTGTGTGACACTGAACAGGGACAATAGTTAGCCCTCCCTGCTTCCCTCCCTTCTGTCCTCCCTTTCTTCCTCCATCCCTCCCTCCCTTCATTCCTTCTTTCTTCCCTCCCTCCCTCCTTCCTTCCTTCCTTTTCCTGTCATCTTCCCTCCCTCTCTCCCTCCCTCCCTCGTTCCTTCCTTTTCCTGTCATCTTCCCTCCCTCCCTCCCTCCCTCCTTCCTTCCTTCCTTCCTTCCTTCCTTCCTTCTTCCTTTTCCTGTCATCTTCCCTCCCTCCCTCCTGAAAAGTATCATTAACTTTTTTTTATTTTGTATGTGTATGAGTGTTTTGGGTACATACATAAGTGCGTTCATGCATGAGGTGCCCATGGAAGCCAGAAGAGGGTGTTGGAGCCCCTGAAACTGGAGTTGTAAGCTGTCCTGTGTGGGTACTTAGAACTTGAGTCCTCTGGAAGAACAGTACAAGGTCTTGACCACTGCAGTCTATCTCCTACCCCCTTTCTTTCTTTTCTTAAAACAAGGCATCACTCTGTGGCCCAGCATGGCCTCAAACTCATGATCCTCCTGCCTCTGCCTTCCAAGTGCTGGGATATAGGTGTGATACCCTGTCCAGCTCTCATGTTATTGTTTCTGAAAGTTTGCAGATACTCTGGAGAGATGGGGAGAAGAGGGCAGTGTCAGTATTATTTTCTTTTTCTTTTTTTTTTTTTTTTTTTTTTTTTTTTTGGAAGGGACTGCCTATAGCCCCTGCTGGCCTGGCACTTAGTATGTAGACCAGGCTGACCTCCATCTCACAGAGATCTACCTGCCTCTACCTCCCAAGAGCTGGGACTAAAGACATGTACCACCACACCTGACAATTATCATTAATTCTTAAAATCTAATTAAGAATTTTCTCAGTATTTTATGACAACAGCTATTTGCCTGCATTTCTTTTAACGTTTTTCTGTTGTTTCTTCTCAACAGTAACCCAAATAAGAGATGCTGAAGAAATGTTTCAAGAAGGCTTGTCCAGACAAGCACTGAGCAGCCCCAGTGAACAGACTGCATGCTTACTGTCAGAGAGGAGTTTGCTAGTGGAGGTGCTGGAACTCGTGGACTCCAAGTCAGAGTCCCAAAGACATATGAGCAGTAACCTACAAAAAGAATTTTCCCAGGTATTGCGAAATTAACTCCATAATTGTGTAACAGGCAGGCCCATTGGAAACATGTTCATTCATGGAATCACTCTAAAATACCAACAGCCAATTTAGCCATGCTTCTGAGTAAGGCTTTTCACGGATGAACTCCTCTGCCACCTGTTAACATTTGCACAGCTTAACTTTCATGAGCCTCAGTTGCCTCAGCTATGAGCTCTGAGATGAACTGAGCTATTCTACACAGTTATCATGAGAATAAAATTACTTACTGTGTTCTAATTACCTCTTTCATCACTGTGACCAAATGCCTGTCAGAAGCAACTTAAGGGAGGAGGTTTCTTTGGCCTCATGGTTTCAAGGGATATAGTCCATCTTAGTAGGAAGGCAGGAGTGTGAGGTGGCGTTGTGACAGATCAGGAAGCAGAGAACCAGACCTGAATGGCTGTATGTTCCCAGACCTGCCACGAGTGTGTGTGTCCAGGTTGGCTCCATGTCTCAAAGGTTCTACAGCCTGCCAAGACAGCACCACCAACTGGGGACCAAGTGTTCACACATGTGAGTTAGTAGTAGACATTTCACATTCAAACCATAATGGAATGTATGTGTGTGTTAGTGAAGAATATGAATAAACTGAAATTCTTTTTTAATACTTTATTCTTTTTTAAATTTTATGTGTATGAGTATATTGCTTGCATGTAAGTGCACCCATGTCATGCAATACCCGAGGAGGTCAGAAGAGGGCATCAGACCCCCTGGAACTGAGTTACGAACAGTTGTTACCTGCCATGTGGATGCTGGGAATTGAACCCAGTCCTCTGCAAAAGCAACTAGTGTTCGTAATGCCTAAGCCATCTCTCCAGCACCAAATAAACTGAAATTCTTATACCCTGCTGCTAGGAATATAACAGAATACAACTATTTTGAAAATAGTCACTGTGTGTGTGTGTGTGTGTGTGTGTGTGTGTGTGTGTGTGTGTGTGTGTGTTATGCATGTGGATGTGTTTGTATGCATGGTAAAGCATATATACTGGTACATGCAGAGGCCAGAGGTCAGTGTTGGGTATTTTCTTTTTTAAAATATTTTTTTAATTATTTTTATTTTATGTGTTTGAGTGTATTGCCTGTAAGTGCACCTGTGTTGTGCAATGCCTAAGGAAGTCAGAAGAGGGTATTGGATCCCCTGGAACTGGAGTTACGGACAGTTGTTAGCTGCCATGTGGGTGCTGGGAATCAAACCTGGGCCCTCTACAAGAGCAGCCAGTGCTCTTAACCTCCGAGCCATCTTTCCAGCCCCCAATGTTGGGTGTTTTCCTCAATCACTTTCCACCTTTTTTTTGAGGCAGGGTCTCTCATTGAACTTGGAGCTCACTGACTCAGCTACACCGGCTGATCTGCCTGTCTCCACTCCCCCACTCCCAAGCCTTGCTTTTATGTGAGTGCTGGGGCTCCAATTTCAGGTCCTCATGCTTACACTTTACTTAAAAAAGCCATCTCCTCAGTTCTGTTTATTGATTTTTGTTAAGGAGAAATTTGAACAAATCCACCAGCCTTTGCAAACAGAACAACAGAATCATCAAGAAACTGGACAGCACCCTAAAAAATATCCTAGTAAGGTAAAAAAATTATATTCCTTTAATAACAGTAGCTAACTATAAATCACCATTTACTTAATTTCTGTCTGAATATATTAAAATGTGTAGATTCATACTGCAAGAGTGATCAAATTGTACGTTAAAATATTATAATCACAGGGGCTAGAGATGACTCAGCAGCTAAGAGCACTGGCTGCAGGGGGACCCAGATTTGGTTCCCAGCACCAACATGTCAGCTAACAACATGGTGACTAATAACTGTCTGTAACTCCAGTTCCAGGAGATTCAGTGCCTTCCTTTGGCCTCTGCAGGCAATGTACATGTGGATCCACTTACATATATGCAGACAAAACACTCATACGCATAAAATAAAAATAAATAACTTTAAAAATACCATAAATACATCAGAACATTCACACAAGATAGTTTTTATCAAATGTATCAAAGTTTAAATAATTAAAATGTGTTATATCCTCTAAAAAGTCACATTGATGACTGGGGCTGCAGCAAGACAGATGAGCACTTGCTAAAATGTATAAAATCCTGAGTTTAATTCCCAGAATTGAAAAAAATTAGATTGGGCTGGGCATGGTGGCATACACCTTTAATCCCAGCACTTGGAAACAGAGGCAGGTGGATCTCTGAGAGTCCCAGGCCACCCTGGTCTACATAGTGAGTTCCAAGCCAGTGTTACACAATGAGACATTGTCTCAAAAAAAAAAAATCTGTGATTGTTCCTACTCTTCCTTTAAAATATTTACAGCTTGTCTTTTGGAGAATCCTTTAGGTATGTGGCCCATTATTTTAATTATCGGGTTTTTTCATGATATTTATTATTGTGCTCTAAATGAATGTCTGCTTACTGGAGTTTATGTTATGAATTTAACCATGGGACATTACACAAGGTGAGAGAAAATGTATATATGTATTTGGATGAAAGTGCATGCCACAGTATTGTTTTCACTACTCAAAACCATCCAGATGCGTAAACGATTATGTGAGTGATGCCACACCTACTTTGGAATGTTATATAGCTTTTAAGAATCATTACAAGAATCTTTGTGAGTTAGAGGCCAGCCTGGTCTACATAGTGAGTTCCAGGACAGCTGGGGCTACAAGGAGACCCTGTCTCAAAAAGACAAAAAATAAATCATTACAAAATCTTTGTAGCACTGTGGAAAAATCTTCCTGATATAACACTGATATTTAAAAGCCAGACAGAGAGCCAGGTATGGTGGTGCACACCTGTAGTGCCAGCACTTGGGAGGCAGAGGCAGGCGGATCTCTGTGAGTTCAAGGCCAGCCTGGTCTACATAGCAAGTTCCAGAACAGCTGGGGCTAACAGAAACTTGTAATTGTTGAGATTTAAAATGTCCAGTAAATGTATGTGTGTAATATGAATGAAAGTACTGCAAAAATGCTAATGTACTTTAAATAGGTTTGCTATGTAGATGGTATTTTCATTGTTTTTTAATCTCACAAATACTATGAAATTATATAGTTTTTATTTTCTTTGAGAATCAAAAGCAAAATATTACTGAGATTGAATGACTTGACTTGTAAGATCTTTAAGGGTGATTGCAGAAGAGAAGTGCTAAACATGATTTGAGATTTGTTAAACATGTACACACTTTGTGGGGCTGGAGAGGTAGTTCTTACTTCTCTTGTAGAGGACCTGAGTTCAGTTCCCAGCATATGTAACCACTTGTAACTCCAGCTCCAGGGGATCCAGGGGCCTCTGGCCTCCATGGGCACTGCCCACCTGTATACATACCTACACACAGACACATACACACACACATAATTAAAACTAAATCTTTTTTAAAAGAGTGAACACACTCTGGAATTAAATGAAACAATGCAGAAGCATTTTACAAACTGTATTTATCAATCCATGTAAATGAGGAGTGCCCTCACTCTCACCAGATGATGCTCATTTCTGTGTTTAACTTTACAGGGTGTGTGTGTGTGTGTGTGTGTGTGTGTGTGTGTGTGTGTGTGTGTGTGCCTGTGTGTTCACATAGAGTCTCTTAAGTTTGTAGATTGAACCGTATGAAACTGCATGTATACAAGTAAAAAGCAATCAAGCATCCCCAGTTTTGTTTGGTCCAACCTAATAAAAGAAACGCACAGAGATGGAAGTTCTGTTTGCTGCTTTTGTTTATTGTCTTTGTAAAGTTACAGAAAATAGCTAAATGTCTCAAGAACACATTTGCTGTTTGCTTCATTACTTACAATACTTTCATTTCAGCACCATAATGAAGACCTAGGTAAAGACAAAGCACCTCAAAACTGCCTAGAGAGGGAAATGGAACAAGTGGCAGAGAGGCTGGGGGTGGCCCTGGAAGAGAACGCCGGGCTCACTGATGAACCGCAAGGGAGGGAGAGAGAGCAGAGTAAGTTGAGTGACTTCAGGGGCCCATTCTAGCCATGGTGGTTTGTTAGTTTTTGTTTGGGGTGGTTTATGATTTTTTGTTTTGTTTTGTTTTGAGACAGGGTCTTTTTAAGATGAACGTGTGAAAGCCTCATTCGTAACAGTGTTCCCAAGTCTTCACTGAAGCACCAGTGCAACACACCTGCCCCAAAGTACACAACCCTGAACTGGGTGCCACTCCCCACCAGGACTCACAGCACCCTAGTCACAGCCCCTCTTTGTCCATTCCCCTAGCTCTGCATCCTCAGATTTCTCCCCAAATAGCCACCACCTGACTCTGAACACTATTTCTGAGTTTTGAGCACATACACTATTCATCCTTTTAAAAAATTCTTTTTTATTACTAGGTAGAGAAATGGCTCAGTGGTTAGGACTCACTGCTCTCACAGAGGACCCAGGTTGGGTTCCCAGCACCCACATCAGATGCCTCACAAGGTTGTGGGTGTGCTTTCCTTTGACCTTCCAAAGTACAGTCATGTGTCACTTAACCATAGGAATTCATTCTTAAAATAATTAAAATAAATAAATAATTTCCTTGTTCTGTGAGCATCATAGAGCCTGCTTAGAAAAACTAAGATGGCTACAGCATCACTAGATGGTATAGTCCTATAGGCTTGCCATGGTATGTGAGGTCCACTATGGATCAAAATTTATTTTGCAGCATGTGACCATAGTTAAGATCTCAGTAGTAGGGGTCTGGAGATGGCTTAGTTGTTAAGAGCACTGACTGCTCCTGCAGTCAGGTTCAATTACTAGCACTTACATGGATGCTAACAGCCATCTATAACTCCAGTTCTAGGGGATCCAATGCTCTCTTCTATCTGTTTTCTAGTATTTTTATATCACATTTAAAAAGTTAAGATGAGCCAGGTGTCCCAGCACTTGGGAGGCAGAGGCAGGCTGATCTCTGCGAGTTCAAGGCCAACCTGGTCTACATAGAGAGTTCTAGGTCATCTGGGGCTGTGGGGAGACCCTGTCTCAAAAAGGCCATAAAAAAGTTAGGATGGAAATTAAATGTGCATGTGTATGTATGTACAAGTGTATGCAGGTATGTATATACATGTGTGCTGTGGAATGTGTGCTGAGAAAGCCAGAGGCTGAAGTTGGGTGTCTTCCTCAATCCCTTTCCACCATTTGTTTTTTTTTTGTTTTCTTTTATTGAGACAGGGTCTCCCTGTAGCCCTAGGTGACCTGGAGCTCGCTATGTAGACCAGGCTGGCCTCAGTCTCAGAGATCTGCCTGCCTCAGTCTTCTGAGTGCTGGGATTAATGAAGTGCACCTCCATATCTGGCTTTCCCAACCTTATTTTTTGAGATAGAGTCTCTCACTGAATCTGGACCTTGCCCATATGGCTAGATTTGCTGGACAACAAGCCCCTGTCTCTGCTTCTCCAGCTCTGGGATTACAAGCTTGCCCTGATATACCCCACTTTTACATTGATACTGGGATTTAAACTCGGGTCCTCATGCTTGTGTAGCAAGTGCTTTACCAACTGAGCCATCTCCCTGGCCCCAGAAATGAACACTTTTTGTCAATAACAAAAATATGTTTTAATAATAAAGTGAGCATTCATGTAAAATATGAATTTTTCAGTAAATGAATATTAAGAAAAAGGAGCTAAATTTAAGAACCCCATTAAATCTTTGTAATGTATGATCTTTATTCAATCCTAGTTCAGATACATTTTTAATTTCGTGAAGGAATGGAGAGGCATCAAAATTCACAAATGAAAAAGCCAGTTGACAGAAAAAGACTGGAAACCTCTCTCCATCTGGGCTATAGCACATGCCAAAAAACAAAAACAAAAACATTGCTCACACAGGGTGTGGTGGCACACACCTTTAGTTCCAGCACTCTGGAGGCAGAGGCAGGTGGATCTCTGAGTTCAAGGCCAGCCTGGTCTACATAGTGAGTTCAAGGCCAGCAGGGGCTATAGGGAGACCCTGTCTCAAGAAGACCAAAAAACAACAGCAAAAATCTCTCCACAAGAGCGGGAGGCCAGTACTGTGTGAGTGGCTCACAAAGCCTCAGTAGACTTGTGGCCCCATAGCACAGGCTTTTCCACCACTCCCTTCCTTCCTTCCTTCCTTCCTTCCTTCCTTCCTTCCTTCCTTC